GACGCAGCAGCAGCAGCGCCAAAGAGAAGGCGCACAGGGGACTCCCCTGCTGCTGCTGCTGCTGCTGCTGCTGCTGCTGCTGCTGCTCGCTCTCTGTCGCCTTCGCCCCCCAAAGACAGGAAGCGGCTGCCGCCGCTGCGGGAGGGCCCCCTGGGGCGTTCTCCTTCAGTAGAGCGGGGCAGGCGCAGCAGGAGCAGCAGCAGCAGCGAGCTGCAGCAGCAGCAGCAGCAGCAGCAGCAGCAGCAGCAGCAGGGTCGGAGGGGCCCCAGAAGCAGCAGCAGGGGCCGCTCCCTCTCCTTCCCCTCCTCCAACTCCCCCGCAGCGCGGAGGGCCTCCCCCAGAAGACACTTAAGAGACCCGGGGGGCCCCCCTGCTGCTGCTAGAGAGCGGCGGGGGGCCCCCCCTGCTGCTGCAGGGGCCCCCAGGGGCCCCTCCCCCCTGGGGGACCGAAGGGGGGGGCCCCCCAGGAGCAGCAGCAGCTACGGCTCCCCAGCCAGGGCCCCGGGGGCCCCTGCCTCTCAGAGGAGGCCCCGGGGGAGGGGCCCCTCCAGAAGCCCCAGCAGCAGGGGCCCCAGCAGGGGCCCCAGCAGGGGCCCCAGGGGGGCCCCCCACGCCCTCAGCCCCAGAAGGGGCCCCAGCAGGGGCCCCAGCAGGGGCCCCTCAGTGTCCCCCAGGGGCAGCCAGAGGGGCCCCCAGGGGGCCCCCGGAAGAACAGGAAGAGACAGAGAAGGGGGTCGGGATAGAGAAAGGGATTTGGGGTCTTTGTCCCCATTGGGGGCCCCCGAGAGAAGCAGAAAGAGCGGGGGGGGGCCCCCCGCAGCAGCAAGAGGGGCTGCAGCAAGGGGGGGCCCCCCCTCCCCCAGCCGCTCGCCCAGCAGGGCCTCGGATGGGGGGCCCCCCAGGGGGGGCCCCAGGGGGGCCCCCAGGGGGGCCCCCAGGGGGGCCCCCAGGGGGGCCCCCTCCCCCAGGGGGCCCCCAGCCCCCAAAGATAAAGAAAGGGGCCCCGGGCGCTACGGGCGCAGCTCTTTCTCCCCTTCCCGCTGCAGCAGCTCGCAAGAGTCCTTTAGAGAAAGAAATAGAAATAGAAATAGAAATAGAGAAAGGGGGGGCCCCTACTGGGCAGCAGAGAGGGGCCCCCAGGCTGCTGCTGCAGCGCGAGAGCGCGACCGCGGCAGCTGCAGCAGCAGCAGCAGACACCGCAGAGGCGGCTGCTGCAGCCCGAGTGTATCTCCAGCTCGCGGCAGCAGCTGGAGAGGCTACAGAAGAGCCTACTGAGGCTGTGGGGCCTCAGAAGCAATAGTCTGGGCCTGCTGCTGCTGCTGCTGCGCTGCTGCTGCTGCGCTGCTGCTGCTGCTTTTGGTGCTGCAGATGGCGGCACGGAGCCGCAGCAGCAGCGGCTCCTTAGCCGAAGTCACCCGCAGTTTGAAGGCCTTTCGGCTGCACGCGGCAAAGGGTTTAGGGGCTAGGGTTTAGGGTTTAGGGTTTAGGGTTTAGGGTTTGAAGGGATGCAGTCCGCTTGGCTTGGTGACCTGCAAAGCAACTAACTTTATTTATTGTTGTTTGTTTTTCTTTTATTTATTTTAACTCATCTTCTAAGTTTTGTGCGCCTACGCGGTGTACGTACACCCCAAGACCCCACACTTGCTGCTGCTGCTGCAGCAGCAGCAAGGCAGCAAACAGGAAAGCCTGAATAATAAAATTGTTTTTTTGCAGTTATAGAACAATATATAATTAGTTGCTCGGGAGGGAAGGCCTTTTAGATTTATTTGCTGCAGCAAATGGCATTTGCTGCAGCAAATGACCCTTGCTGCAGCAAGTGGCCCCTGCTGCAGCAAGTGACTCTTGCTGCAGCAAATGGCCCCTGCTGCAGCAAATGGCCCCTGCTGCAGCAAATGGCCTTTGCTGCAGCAAATGGCACTGCCCAGCAGCTCTGTAGTGGCCTCTGCGCTGCCAGGGGGAATTTGAGATTGCACAAACTACAGAAAGTCGCAGGCACTGCGCACTGCTGCAGCAGCTGCTGCTGCTGCAGTGGCTGCTGCTGCTGCAGTGGCTGCTGCTGCAGCTGCAGCAGCTGCTGCTGCTGCAGTGGCTGCTGCTGCAGCTGCAGCAGCAGCTGCTGCTGCAAATGGTGGTCCAGCGTCTGCTGCTGCAACAACTACGACTTCTGCTGCTGTAAATGATTGTGCAGCGTCTGCTGCTACTACAACTGCGGCTGTGGCTGCTGCAGATGATGGTGCAACGCCTGCTGCTGCTACGACTGTGGCTGTTGCTGCTGCAACGGCTGCTGCTGCTGCTGCTGCTGCTGCTGCTTCCCAGCATTGTGTGGAAAAGCACTTCTTTGTGCTTTGTCCGCAAATGGACAGGGGCAGAGGTGCAAGACTGAAAGCCGAAAAGTTCAAAGAGTCTAAAAAATTGGAGAAGAAAACGAAGACCAGCAGCAGCAGCAGCAGCAGCAGCTGCAGCAGCAGCAGCACGGGTCGATTGCACTAACGGGAAAGAACAAAAGACAAGCACTAAGGTCTCGTGATCCGGGTGTAGTGACACTGCAGAACAACACATAAGGCCTCCAGCAGCAGAGAAAAGGCCGGTGGAAGCTCTTAATAAACACTTTTGCAGCTCGTTTTGCAAGTTTGCTGCTTCTCCCCGAGCTTCAGGAGAAGCTGGGGGCCCCTGGGGGCCCCTAGGGCTTCCGGGGAACTCGCGGCTTCCCTAGTTTTCGAAAGAACAAAAAAACTGACTCACTGGCGACCTGAGTTGCTGCTTGCTGCGCTTCCGAGGTGTACGTACACCTCAAGTGCGCGCGCAGCTGCGGTGTACGTACACCTCGCTCGGGTGTACAGACGCCTCCTTGCGGTGTACGTACACCCGAAGGCCGGGCTCTGGCCTGCTGCGCTTCTCCGCCAGCAGCAGCAGCAGCAGCAGCAGCAGCAGCAGCAGCAGCGGAGCTCGAGGAACTAAAACCATTTCGAAATGTCTAAAATTGAATTTGAACGCCTTCTCTTCACCTGCGAAGGCTCTCAGCAGCAGCAGCAGCAGCAGCAGCAGCAGCAGCAGCAGCGCGTGCATGCGTGCAGCTCTACACGTATGTGTCCTCAGACTTCGCCGCGCGGCGTCACTTGCTCGCCGCCCGCTGCTGCCGCTGCTGCTGCTGCTGCTGCTGCTGCTGCTGCAGCCGCTGCTGCTTCTTTTGCTCCTCCTTCTCCGCTAGATGCACCTTGGGGTTCTTCACTTCCATGTCCCTGAAGCGCTCGCACTGCTGCAGCTGCTCCGGATTCTCCGGGGCTTCTGGCAGCAGCTGCGGGTAAATTGCATGCATCTTTTTGGCCACAGAAAGTTCAAAGGGCTTTTGCCCTATTATGTTTCCGCCTGCGCACCCATTTCCACACAAACACAGCCACTCCCGCTCAGCTCAACAGCTAGCTAGCTAGCTAGCTGGCTAGCTAGCTATGTAGATCGCTAGTTAGCAGCCCGCTGCCCTGCCTGCCAGCTAGCTAGCTAGCTAGCTGGCTGGCTAGCTAGCTGGCTGCTGCTTGACTAGCTAGCTAGCTGGCTAGCTGGCTAGCTGGCTAGCTGGCTTGCTGGCTAGCTGGCTAGCTGGCTAGCTGGCTAGCTAGCCAGTAAAGCAGCAGGTAGCTAGAGCATGCGCAGAGTCGGTGACACTGCCAACTCCCAGCAGCACAGCCCAAGGACACATTAGCCATTTATAAACTCTTATCTACAAAGAGCTCATACATATTAAAGGACACATTCAAATAAACATCTACAGGCACATATAAGTGCGGTGTGGGGCCCCACAGGAAGTGTGGGGTGTTTCGGGCGCGGGACCCCACACTGTGGACTCACTGGGGTTGTACTGACAGCCCGCGAGCAGCAGCGGGCGCCCCCCCGAGCACTGGCGGCTGCAGACTACGTAGGCGCAGCCGAGTTGCTGCGAGCTTTGCCAAGCCACTGCAGTGTAGTGGCCAGTCATCAGCCCGTGGGCGTGGAACTCCGTGCTGCACTTGGGGCCCATTATGCCTGTGCAGGGGTTTCCCACTTTCCCGAACCTGCGAGCCGCAGCAACACCACTGGACCTCTCCTGCTGCTGCTGCTGCTGCTGCTGCTGCTGCTGCGGCTGCTGGTGCTGCTGCTGCGGCTGCTGCTGCGCGCTAGGGGAGCAGGGGGCTGGTGGCTGCAGGGCTAGCTGGCTAGTCGAGAGAGCTGGGCCAGTGGACCAGTGGTCCACTGGCCAGTGGTCCACTGGACCACTGGGGGCCTCACCTGTAGCAGGCCGCCTCGGAGGCCCAGGCGCTGGGAATGTCAGTGGGCAGGGGCCCCACAGTGCAGCCAGTCCACAAGTTCTCGCCAATGCCTTGCTTCATGTTGGGCTGCAGCAGCAAAGCACAAGTTCGCAGCTCGCCCTTTTGCTGCTGCTGCTGCTGCTGCTGCTGCTGCTGCTGCCCCGGGCCCCAAACCTAAACCCTAAACCCTAGCAGCGAGCTGCGCCGTCGACCCGCGTGGCCTTCAGCGCCTCCTGCTTAGGGCCTAGGGTTTAGGGTTTAGGGTTTAGGGTTTAGGGTTTGGCTCACGAGCTCGCGGGCCTCGTGGGGCGAGTGTTCCATCCTGCACTCCTGCTGCAGGTTTTGGTGCTGCAGGTACTTCAGCATATTTGCTGCTAACAAATCATTCCACTTCATCTCCGGCAAAGAGTGCTGCCGCCGCACTGCGTTGTGGCCCTCCAGCATAACTGCAGCAGCAAAACAAACTCCAAATTATTTCCACTTCCAAACAACACTCCCAATCCCTCTCAATTCCCCTCCAAAAAGGTGTGGGGGGGCCCCTAGGGGCCCCCCTGGGGGCCCCCCTAGGGGCCCCCACAGGGGCCCCTTTAGGGGCCCCACAGGGGCCCCCTTGGGGGCCCCGATAGGGGCCCCCTCAGGGGCTCCCCCCACAGTGTGCGGGGGGGCCCCATAGGGGCCCCTCCCCGTAGGGGCCCTCAGAGGGGCCCCCATAGGGGCCCTCCAGTAAAAAGCGCAATAGGGGCTCTTATAGGGGGCCCCCCTAGGGGCCCCCATAAGGAGCTTCATAGGGGGCCCCCCAATAGAAGCTTCCTAGGGGCCCCCCTAGGGGCCCCCCTAGGGGCCCCCATAGGGGCCCCCTTTGCAGGGGCCCCGAAAGGGCCCCTGGGGGCCCCCCGAAGAGGTCTTTTCTGCCAGCTGACCTTTGCGGAATTTGTCCATTGTCACTGCAGAACACACGACAGCAGCAAAAAAGCGGCTTTTCTCCTGCTGCTGCTGCTGCCGCTGCTGCTGCTGCTGCTGCTGCTGCTGCTGCTGCTGCTGCAGGGGGGCTAGGAAGCAGCAAGGGGGTTTGTTGAAGAGGGAATTGAGTGGCAGCTCACTTCTTTCTTGGCGAACAACTCCTTGAGTCTCCAACTTGCCTTCACAAGAGCTTTTAAAAGGATCAAACTTTTGAATTATTCGCAGCTGCAGCCCCGCGCCAAAACGCCCCACCAAACCCTCCGCGCCGTACGCCCGCTCCGTCAATCCCGTGTCGTAGACGAAGCAGGTCTTGGACCCCATGCGCCCTGCAGCACGGCTCAAACGCGAGGGTTTAGGGTTTAGGGTTTAGGGTTTAGGGTTTAGGGTTTAGGGTTTAGGGGTTGGCCCTTCCCGGCCTGGGGTTTGGGGTTGCGACTTCACGGTCTAGGGTTTAGGGTTTGGCGTTCAGGTTCAGCGTTTAGAGACTCGGGTTTAGCGTTTAGGGTTTGGGGCTTGCGGTTGGGGGCTTAGGGTTTTGAATTTAGGGTTTAGGGTTTAGGGTTTAGGGTTTAGAGTTTAGCGCTCGCTAAAGAGCGCCGCAGTCCGCACGGGCAGCGCGAAAAGCGGATTCAAGCTGCGGGATGCGCTGCTGTCAAATCCCTAATCTCTAAACCCTAAACCCTAAACCCTAAACCCTAAACCCTAAACCCTAAACCCTCGCTTTTGAGCCGCACAAATGGAAATGGTTTTCATTATTCTTCTTCCCAGATCTTCCTTGGAGCCCTCGGGCAGGCCTGGCGCTTCCCCTTCAATAGCATTGAAGAATTCTTCGCCGCCTGCTCGCAAACAACAATAAAAGGGTTTAGGGTTTAGGGTTTAGGGTTTAGGGCGTAACATATGACGCTAGCGACAGCTAGGAGACCCTCTGGGGACATTTGGGTACGTAAGGGGGCCCCCAGATATCTCTAGATATCTCTGGGGGCCCCCCTGGAGACCTACTACTCCTGGGGGGCCCCCAGATATCTCTAGATATCTCTGGGGGCCCCCAGGGGCCCCTGGGGCCCCTCGGAGGCACACGAGAACCCCTGGGGGCCCCCTGGGGGCTCCCAGCTCGGCGGGTCCCACGGGGTCTTCTGGGGGCCCCGGGGGGCCCCCGGGGGCCCCAGCGTTTGGGGCCCTCAGGGGGCCTCCGGGGGCCCCAGGGGCCCCAGGGTTTGGGGCCCCCAGGGGGCCCCCGGGGGCCCCAGCGTTTGGGGCCCTCAGGGGGCCCCAGGGGGCCCCCAGGGGCCCCAGGGTTTGGGGCCCCCAGGGGGCCCCCGGGGGCCCCAGGGGGCCCCTGTGGAGGGTTTAGAAGTGTCTGAAAAACCCACTTTTGCAGCCAAGAGAAGAAATGCAAACTTCAGTTTTGGCCAAAGTCATGCAGCTGGACTCTCCCTTGCGGGCCCTCGTGAGTTTCATTCGTTTGCCGTGGCCGCAGCTGGAGGAGCAGGCGCTCCAGTTGGTCTCCATCGTGTGGCAGCCTGCAGCAGCAGCAGCAGCAGCAGCAGCAGCAGCAGCAGCAGCAGCAGCAGCAGCAGCAGCAGCAGCAGCAGCAGGAGAGCTTGCCTGTGAGCGGTTCATTGTAAATTCCGGAAATGATCTTCAAAGGGTTTTTTGCAAAAAGATCTTTTCCTTCAGAATACTTTTGAGCACTTCTTAAAAACATTTTCATTGCCAACTCTTTGTGCTGTTCACTTATCCGCGAGTCCACAATCATAGCCGCCTCCGTGGCCTTCTCTGCACGCAAACCCTAAACCCTAAACCCTAAACCCTAAACCCTAAACCCTAAACCCTAAACCCTAAACCCTAGTATACCCTAAACGCTGAGCCTTAGGTCCTAAACCCTGGAGCTTGGGCCGTAAACGCGAAGTCCCAAACCATAACGCGAAACGCTAAACCCTAAGTTCTGAACCCTAAACCCTAAACCCTAAACCCTAAACCCTAAACCCTAAACCCTAGGGCGGGAGAGCGGGAAACCAGGAAGCAGCCACGTATCGACGATCTAGATGCGCTTTTAATTGAAATATACTTTATTTATTTATTTATTTATTTATTTATTTTATTATTTAATTTGTTTTGTTTTATTCTTTCATTTATTTTAATTTATTATTTACCTAATGCGGAGATGTAATCGCTGGGAGCCATTTCTGGCAGAGGCGGCTGAGTAAAGGAAGTACTTGCTGCTCAAAGTCAAAAAGGACAGCAGCAGCAGCAGCAAAACCCTAAACCCTAAACCCTAAACCCTAAACCCTAAACCCTAAACCCTAAATCCAGAAGAGCCCTGAACTCTAAACGCTAACTCCCAAACCGCGAACCCCAAACCCCAAACCCAAAACCCAAAACCCTAAACCCTAAACCCTAAACCCTAAACCCTAAACCCTAAACCCTAAACCCTCACCCTTGGCGTCTTCGTCGACCTGCTGGAAGAGCTGCAGGGCCTCCTGCTGCAGCTGCTGCTCAGTTTTGTTTTCTGCGAACTTCAAAGAAGTTGTTGGAATTATTTCATGAGGTTTAAGAACAACTTTCTTTTTAATGGTTCCAGTTTGCTTCCTGAGGAGTGCAGCAGCAAGGTTCTTCTTTGCTTCCTCCTCCTTCTGCTGCTGCTGCTGCTGCTGCTGCTGCTGCTGCTGCTGCTGCTGCTGCTGCTGCTGCCGTTCTTCCTCCTTTCTTTTTGCTTCCAGCTCCTGCTGCTTCCTCCTTTCCTCCTGCTGCTTCCTCCTTTCCTCCTGCTGCTGCTTTCTTTCTTGCTGCTGCTGCTTTCTTTCTTGCTGCTGCTTCTTTCTTTCTTCTTCTTTTTCTTTTTCTCTCCGAGCTTCCACTTCTGCCAATCTGCTGCGGCTCTCTTCTCCTGCAGCAGCACGAAGCCCCAGCCGCTTCACTTCCCGCAGCAGGGGCCCCTCTGCGGGGGGCCCCCCGAGGCTGGCTTTGCTGAATCTGGACCAAGCAGCAGCAGCAGGAGTAGCGGGAGCAGCAGCAGCAGCGGGAGCAGCAGCAGCAGCGGGAGCTGCTGCAGCGGGAGCAGCAGCAGCAGAAGGAGCTGCTGCAGCAGGAGCAGCAGCAGCAGCAGCAGGAGCCTCCGTCTTGTACAACTCTGCCAAATTAGACAACTTCGCGCGAACTCCAGGACTTAATCCTTCTTTCTTATTTGCTGCCACCAACTTCGCAAACTTTGCTGCCACGGGAGCTGGCGAAGTTCTCGGGGCTCCTGAGAAGCAAAATATTCCAAAAGATAGCTTTCTTGCACTACTGCTGCTGCTGCTGCTGCTGCTGCTGCTGCTGCTGCTGCTGCTGCTGCTGCTGCTGCTGCTGCTGCTGCTTCTGCTGCTGCTGCTGCTGCTGCTGCTGCTGCTGCTGCTGCTGCTGCTGCTGCTGCTGCTGCTGCTGCTGTGACGCTAACGCTACTGTTGCTACTGCTGCTGCTGCTACTGCTACTGCTGCTGCTGCTGCTGCTGCTGCTGGTGGTGCTGCGGGAGGCTTGAGTGCGTGTGCTGACCTGAGGTTTGCTGCTGCTGCTGCTGCGGCTTCGAGGCCAGCAGCACTTTGGAAGCTCTTCTGCTGGAGTTGGCGCCTTTGGAAGGAGTTGTTAAGAAAGCGGCGAAGCTGGGGGCCTCCAAAGGGCCCCGCTGCAGAAAGGGGGCCCTGGGGGGCCCCCGGGGGCCCCCGGGGCTGTTGGCCTGAGCAGAGGCCGCAGCAAGCAGAGGTCCCGAGTGGTCCACTGGTCACCCCGGCGGGGGCAGTGGTCACTGGTGCACAAAGGGCCCCCAAGAGGGCCTTTTGGGGCCCCCAGGGCCCCACTTGAAGCAGCTAATTGTCGCGGAGGCCTTTAAATGCAAAAAAAGAAGTCTTACTTCGTTTTGGAGGTCCTGGGAGGCCCAGTTTGCTGCGTCTGGGGTGTACGCGGAGCCCTGGAGGGCTGGCTGGAGGCCCCCAGCGGCCCCCGCGCGGGCTGCAGCAAAGTCTAGGGCCCCCGCGAAAGGCAGGAGGTGGAAAAACAAAAGAAAAGCCCAAAAGAATGCGGGTTTGGGGTATATGTTGGAAGGTGGTGCGTGCGTGCGGCGGTGGGCAGCAGCAGCAGCGCGGCGGGCGGCGCTGCTGCTGCTGCTGCTGCTGCTGCTGCCCGCGGGCTGCTGCGGCGGGATCTTGCGGCCTTTGGCCGCCAGACAAGCGGCTTTGCTGCAAAAAAAGGAAAAAGTCTTCGAAAAGTCGGCGTGGACGCAGTAAGAAGAGCCCCTGCTGCTGCTGCTGCTGCTGGCGGCGGCGCCATCGACCCGCGCGCTGCTGGCAGTCTCGGCGCGCGAAAACCCCGATGGGCTGGCGGCGGAAGCAGCAAAACTCATTGAAATATCATAGATTGCTGCAGTGGAAACCCAAAAGAAGCAAAAAGAAGCCGAATTAAAATGTAGTTGCTGCTCAGTTGCTGCGAAATCGCTCGCTGCTGCTGCCCGCGCCCGCGCAGCGCCGGCTGCCGACGCAGCAACACTGTACAGCTGCTGCGCGACACCCCAGCGAAGCCCTCCGCTGTCCTGGCTTTAAAAGTTCTTTTAAATCTTTTTATTTATTTCTTTTTGCATTTGCGGGTTAAAATTCAGCAAATTCGCCGCGCAGCTGCGCCGCTGCTGCAGCAATTTAATGCGGGCTAGCGCCGACGCCCGCGAGCCAATCGACCGCAGCAGCCCACCAGATCAAAGTGTACAATCGATAAAAGCCCCGTTTTAAGTCTAAATCTGAATTTAAATATTTAATTTATCCCTAAAGACAAAAAATGGGAAGCAAAGACTCGTGGGAAGCTCCATTTCCCTTCCCCCCGTGGCTTGCTGGGCTGGCCTGGAGGGCGCGCCGCCGCTGGCTCGCTGGCCTGCGAATCCCCCGCTGCTGGGCCTTAATAGACCTTTTTAAGTTTCTAATTTTCGCCATTTCTTTGAAATATTTCCAAAATTAATTCAAAAACTGCAGCGGAGGCCTCTGGGGCCTCGCGGCCGCAGCGCCCGTCCTTAGTTAATAAGGCCCGCGGGAGCGCCCCGCGGCCACGCCCACGACGCTGGCAGCAGCCAAAAGGCGAATTCCAACGACATTTGACCCACAAAAGCCGTTTTAAATATAAAAATTTATTAATTTAATCTTAAAATACCATTTTAAATCCAAAACTCCGCAAATTCGCCGCAAAAAGCCGTTTTTGGGACGCAGCTGCAGCTGCGCAGAGGGCTGCAGCAGCAAATAGAGCCGCGGCCACAGCCCCCTGGCTCTGCTGCTGCCAGCAGCCCTCAAGGGGCAAAACTTAGCAGCAAATTAAAGCCTCCAAAAGTCCATTTTGCTGCTTCATTTTCGACAAAGTTTTGCGAAAATGAAGCAGCAAAATGGACTTTTTGGAGGCTTTAATTTGCTGCTAAGACTGGCTACAAACTGCTGCGAATTGGGGGAGTAAGTGGGCTCAAAAGAGCAGCAAAAATCGCTCTTTTAGAGCCCCTGTGTGCAGCAGCAGCAACAGCAGCAGCAGCAGCAGCAGCGGCAGCAGCAGCAGCGGCAGCAAAGGCACTAATGAAATAGTTTTAGACTATTTAATAAGTTTGAATTTAAAAATAAAAGTTTCTTCAATTTCCAGGGCTTCTACAGCTTTTCGAAGATATCAAAAAGAAAATAAAAGAGTTTAATTAAGTCCGCTGAGCCCAAGAGGCTTTTCTCAGTGCCAGAGCAGCAGCAGCAGCAGCAGTAGCAGCAGCAGCAGTAGCAGCAGCAGCAGTAGCAGCAGCAGCAGTAGCAGCAGCAGCAGTAGCAGCAGCAGCAGTAGCAGCGGCAGCAGAAGCAGCAGCAGCAGCTGCTGCTGCTGCTGCGGGAGTTCACTCCTTTTTTGGCCCGGCCACCCGCTGCCCGTACTACTCCAGCAGCTGCAGCTGCACCTGCTGCAGTTGCCGCAGCAGCTGCTGCTGCTGCAGCTGCTGCGGCTGCTGCTGCTGCTGCAGCTGCTGCAGCTGCTGCAGTCCATCAGACCGCCGGCAGCTGCAGCCCTTTGCCCGGTAGGCAAAACGGCGCCGCGCTGGGGTGAAGGGGTCTTTAGAGGCTCCTAAAGTGCCTTCAACAATCCCAAAATTCTTTTTAAAAACAAAAAAGTTTTAATAAATAAAAAAATATAATTAAAAATATATAAATATATAATTAAAAATAAACTTTATAATGTAAATATGGAATTATAGCTGAGTAATCGCGGGGTGAGAGTCCACAAATCGTTGTGCTGAGATCTTCAAAGCCCAGAATGGCTCTGGATTGGAAATTGAAAATAAAAAAAGGAATTTAATTCTTTAATTTAATAAAAAACTGTTTTTATTTCAATTTAATAAAAAGCTAATTCAATTTTTCCGCTCATTTCAGAGTGTTTTGAATCTCTGTGATGCAACGAAGCCAAACCTCTCGCTTGGGGCCCCAGTGCGCTGCAGTTCAAGTTTTTGGCCGGGCAGCTGTCGGGGAAAAAAAGAAAGAAAAATAAAGAAAGAATTCGCATTTTGAATTTAAAATAAATTCAAAACTTTTAATTATAGATTTATTTCGCAAGTGTTTCGACTGTTGTGCGAAGATTGGCTCTGCTCCTGCGAGCCCCAGCAGCGCCGCAGCCGCCGCGTGAAAGCCGCGTGGAAAGCTGCAATTTGAGTTTATTTTTGATATTTGAAATACTTTTGAAGTTTTAAATTCAATTTAACTTTTTAATTAAAGTGATAGAGCGCGAAAAGCCGAGGAAGAGAGGGCTGCAGCAGCAGCTCGCCCGCCACTCCGCAACACCAATCCCACCGCTTCCCAGCGCGGTGTCTGTCATTCCTTCCGCGAAACGCGAAATTGCCAAACTTTCGGCTAAAGTCGCTTCAATTCATTTTAAAATTGAATTTATTTTTGAATTTATTTCCTTGAAGTGCTTTGTGGAGGCGAATTCGCTCGAACTCGCCGCCAGAAGCCCCGAAGTTGCATTCCCGTTTCCGCAGACGCCTGCGCCCGATCCGCGGCTCTCCGCCGCAGATCCGCCTTTATAAGAATATATTTCGAGACTTTTCCTTTTATTTTATCTTTTTATTTCCTTTTTAATTCCATTTTCCCCCTCAAAAGCCGCAGATCGGCCCCCCCCCGCAGTTCAAGTGCAGAGCAATGGACTCCCGCCCCCCCGACAAGCGCTTTGACTCGCCTTCGTTTTCCCCAGCCCGAGGGCAGCAGCGCAGCAGCAGCAAAGCAGCAGCAGCAGCAGCAGCAGCAGCTTGGGAGGACCCGGAGCTCTTTGGGGAGGAGGAGGGCCCCCCGGAGGCGGGGGCCCCCGGCAGCAGCAGCAGCAGCAGCAGCAGCAGCAGCAAGTCCAAGAAGCACCGCGCCCCGGGGCCCCACGCGCATGCAAGAAGGCCAAGTGAGCTGCTGATGCCCTAAACCCTAATTTTGCTGCACTGGAGCCCCACCCCAAACCCTGCTGGAGCCTAGGGTTTAGGGTTTAGGGTTTAGGGTTTCGTTAGTTTCAGTGCCCGCGCATGCACTCAGGCGCGGCTTCCTTCTCAGACGCCCCCGAAGACGAGGCGGAAGCAGCAGCAGCAGCAGCAGACGCTGCTGCTGCTGCTGCTGCTGCTGCTGCTGCTGCAGGGGGCCCCCGGGGGCCCCGCGCGCGGCAGCCGCCGCTGAACGCCGCCTGCTTCCTCGTGACCCCCCAGGGGGCCCCCTGCGACTTGCTGCTGGATTTGTATTGTCAATTAAATTATTCTCGAGACAAATTGCGGAAATATGATTTAATTAAAAGACAAAAGGCCCGCAGCAGCAGCAAACAGAGCCTGCAGCGCGAGCTGCAGGCCGCGCAGGCCCTCCTCGCCCGCGCCTCCAAGCAGCAGCAGCAGCAAACCACCAGCAGCAGCAGCAGCAGCAGCAGCAGCAGCAGCAGCAGCAGCAGCAGCAGCAGCAGCAGCGGGGAGGCGGTGCGTGCGGCGCTGTGCGTGCGGCGCTGCAGCCGGGAGCTGGCGCGGCTGCGGGCTGCGGAGGCTGTGGAGCTGCGGGAAGCTTTAAATGGACTTCTTGAAGAAATTAGAAATAAAATAAATGAATATTATCCTTTTAATGAACACATTTCCAAACTGACGCGCAGACTGGAGCAGCAGCCGCTGCAGCAGCAGCTCTGGACGCGCCTGCGGCCGCTCCTGGTGTACAGACACCTCACGGGCTTCCTGCACCACTGGCAGCAGCGCGGCTGCCCGCCAAACCCTCACTTGCTGCTAAACCCTCGCGATCTCGCGCCAGACGAGGCCCCAAACCCTCCTCTAAACCCTAATTTAAACCCTAATTCAAACCCTAATTCAAACCCTAATTCAAACCCTGATCCAAACCCTAATTCAAACCCTAATTCAAACCCTTGGGACGAGTGGGGGGGGCCCCGGGACCTCCCGGAGGAGGGGGGGATGGAGCTGGACGCGGACTTCGCGGAAACTGCGCGGAAAAGCCAAAATAAAGACAAAAACGAAATTAAAAATGCAAATAAAAACAAAAATGAAAATCAGTTTTCGAATTTAAACGAAAGTTCCGACAAAAGTTCCGGCGAAGACGTGCCACGCGGCTGCGTCGGCGGCGCCGCTGCTGTACAGCCACCGCACCCGGACTCTGAAGGTGAGGCTGCTGGGAACTCCGCTTCTAAATGCTGGAATTCATTTATTATTTTTTTGTTTTGAATTAAAAATTAAATTTAATTCATTTCGCGTCAATTTAAATCCAATTTGAATTAATTGGCCCGCGAATTCGCAACTCGCGCACGGCCCAGGGAAGCCGCGGTGGACCAGTTCACTCTTTCTGTCTCGTTCTTTTTCGCTTTTCTGTTTTATTTTATTTATTTTATTTCGTTTTATTTATTTCATTTTATTTATTTCATTTCATTTTATTTATTTCATTTTTATTTTTATTCTTTTGAATTCATTTCGAGTCTGAAACTGTTTTATTTGCTGTGGGCGCACTTGCCGTGTTGCTGCTCAGCTGCTGCCTTTCCTTCATTGCTTCACATGTCAATTTTCTTTTTAATTTATTCACCATTATTTATTTATTTATTTATTATTTATTATTTATTTATTTATTATTTATTTATTTATTTATTTATTTATTTATTTATTATTTATTATTCATTTATTTATTTGTTTATTTGTCGCTTTGCAGGACCCTCAGCAGAAGAGCTGAGAGAGCTGCGGCAAAAGCAGCAAGAGGCCAGGGCCCGCAGGCAGCAGCTGCAGGCCCAGCGCCAGCAGCAATCAGGGTTTAGGGTTTAGGGTTTAGGGTTTAGGGTTTGGGGTTTAGGGTTTGGGAGGAGCTCCTCTGTAGAGAGCAGGAACTACAGGTTCGAAGTTTCCGCAAGGAAACCAAGAGGAGCTTGAACCTTGGGCTCACGCCCTAGGGTTTAGGGTTTAGGGTTTAGGGTTTAGGGTTTAGGGTTTGGGATTGCGGATCTCAAGGCCCTGCTCTTATCTCTTTTGTGTGCACATCAACTTGACTAAACCCTAGACAACCAAATGAAGTGCTTTGCCGAAAACCCTCGCACAAACCCTAAACCCTAGGCCCAAACCCTAGGCCTAAACCCTAGCTCAAACCCTAAACCCTAGCCCCAAACCCTAGACTTAAACCCTAGCTCAAACCCTAAACCCTAGTCCTAAGGCCCTCGATCTGCTGCCCCTCTTTAGCGCCTCGATATGCGTTGATACGGACACGGTGTTTCTTGCTGCTGCTGCTGCTGCTGCTGCTGCTGCTTCGAGAGGGTTTAGGGTTTAGGGTTTAGGGTTTAGGGTTTGTGTTTGCACGCTCGAAAAAGCAGTTTAGAAGGAAAGTGTTGGTTCAAAGCCACCGGAAGTCGAGTCTGAAGAGCAGTTGCTGCGCAAGCTGCGGAGCAGCAGCAGCAGCAGCAGTTGCTGCTGCTGCGTGTGCTGCTGCGTGAATCGTTGAGCAATCTCCAGCAGCAGTTGCTGCTGCTGCAGTTGCTGCTGCTGCATTCCCTCTGCCCGCTTGCGTGCGGCACGAAGACTCCCACCCCACGAGCAGCAGCAGCCCCACCACCCGCAGCAGCAGCAGCAGCAGCAGCAGCAGCAGCAGCAGCGCTGCCTCTGCTG